AGGGGATTAAAGCACCTACTTAGGCAGACCCAGGGACCAGGGTTCGAACCCCAGTGTGCTGTGCCGGCACCACCCCCAGGGCATGCTGAGATGGGGATTGAGATTGGGCATGGAGGTGCATGCCTGTAATCCCAGTGCTTGGGAGGCTGAAAACAGGAGAATCACTACTAGTCTCACCTATGTAGTGAGACCCTGCAGACCCTGTACTAAATTCATCAAAAAATCAACTGTACAGTTTTTAGTAATTAGGCAACAAGCACATCTCTGCTGCATAGCGTCGCCCAACCCTGCCTCAGGTGTGAGCAGTTCTCACCATTGAATACATTCCCATGATTCTGTTTTTCTCTGCTAAGGGTGGATACTGGGGGCATCATCCAAAATGAGACGGCGCCCACTGCTGTGGTGCACTGAAGGCCAACCGCATGGCCAAGGCAAAGTCGCCTGTCTGAAATCCTTCCAAGGGTCACCTGTTGCCCTGACTCTTCAAGATCTTGACTTCCATATGTTCCAGCTTATCCCCATGTCTCTGACCTCACTCCATCATTGTCCTTCCTTCTCTGGTTAACAGGGATCTGGCCATCCTTTGTTTTAAGTCCTTTTGTCCTTTGGGACTCTCTCAGTGGCTTTGCTCCGCAATCCCCAGCATCCTCTCAAGTCTTCCCAGGTCTAAAACATCTTGCCGTTCCAGTGAGTCTTAGCTCAAATATGACATCCTCAGTGAAGGTTTCCACCATTTGATTGCTGCCCCAGCCTAAGCACATCCATTCATTGACCTGTTTTACTTACTTATTTATTTATTTAATGTATTTGGCACAGGGTCTTACTACGCAGCTCGGACTCACACTGACCCTCCTGTTTTATCTCCCTCAGTGCTGGGATTACAGGAGTGTGCCACCTGTTTTACCTTCTGCATTTCATCACCACCTCCTACAATAAGCATGTACAGAACTGGTGCCTGGCATTCATTTCACCATGTTCAGCCACCCAGGCACTCAGAGGCCAATGTAGCTATGGTCCAAAGTGGTCTGGCTACTGCTCAAGCTGCCAATGGACCTTGGTATCGACCACATAATGCTGCTGTATCAGGTTGGCAGAATCCAAGAGTTTGAGGGTACGGGGGTTTCTACCCAGATTTCAAAGGTTTCTACTGCCTAGAAGGCCAGGCAGTGTGCCAAGGAGATGGCATCGTATGGATTTGGAGAGGTGAAGCCACAGCACAGAGAGACCCTTGGGAGCTGGAAACGCCAGTACGTGCAATGTCTGCTGAGGAGACGCCCGGGCCATGCACTGAGCAGCCCAAGAGAGCCCTTGTGGGCAACAACTGGCAAGGCCCCAGGTTGGGGCTGCCCAAGCCCTGGGGGACTTACACCTCCTCACTGTTGCCTCAATGGCAGACAGAGCACTCAGGACTCAGTGTTTGTCCAGCTGGATTGTAGTTTTGCTCTGGTTCCATTCATTTTTTATTTTTTATTTTATGGATAAACCAAAATTTCAAAACAAAATAATAAAATAGCAATTGTTATTAAAGTATATAATGTTACCTTCAAAATAGCTACTCAGAGCACAAGATATAGGCATGAAAATGTGTTCAAACGATACCAGCACGAACTTGTCTTTTCATCAAGCTAAGAGAAACTAGCAGTATAGCTGGCTTCACTGTCCTGTAGTTCTCGCCTTTTGTCTTCCTTCCTGCCTCCTTCCCCCACCCGAGCTCCTTTATCCTTTTGAACAGTCTCTTCCCATTTCACTATATCTATTGTACAGTTTGGGCCTTAGTTACTCTTGGAGCCTCACACACCAGGGAGAGACTACACCAGGGAGATTTGCACATGTGAGTCTCTTTGATTCCACTTGTGAGCACGGTCTCAAGTTGCATCCACGTACCTAGAAAAGTCTCACATTTATCTTTCTTTATAGCTGAGTAGTCTTTGTATAAAAAGAATATACTTTTTAATCCATTGTCAGCTGTTGGGTATTTGGGTTGCTTCCAAGATTTAGCTACTACTCGCTGTGCTGCTGCCAACCTGGGCGCACATATATGGGTTCCCTTATTTTCTATCCTGCTCTTCCTCTATGAAATGTGGATGTTTACTCTGCACCATTGACTATAGAAAATGTGGCACTAGCTTTTGATAGCTTTTTAAATTTTTTTCCTGTTGATTGTGCTTGAGACTTACTGATCTGTGAATTTGTAGTAATCATCACAGAAGTAAAACATTTCACCGTATGACTTTAAATATATTCCCCATTACAGGAGTTCGCAGCTAAAAGCTTGCCTTAGGACTTTGGACTTGGACTTTGTGTAATGTAGGAGCTATCCAGGCAGGCATTAGTACACTTTTTAGTTTAAATAGGATCGATATATCATGTTAGGCAGAATTGTGACCACGTGTTTACTTACAGATTAATTATGCTTTAAGGAAATGTTTTACGATGTCAAATTGACAAAGGGTGAACTGTGACAATTAAGCTGGCTTCTCAAATTGCCTGGCTTGAGGGCCATCTAGGGGGGTCCTGGAACATATTTTTAGAATGTTTGGGTTGGTCACGAATGTGTGACCTTGGGTACTATACTCGGTGCCTGGTCTTTCCTCTCTGGTGCTGTTTTACTGCTCTGCCTCCTGTCTGCCTTTCCTTCTTCACCTGTGTCCACCAGGAGAAGAGTCTGGTAAACTTGATGCTAAGACTGTAGCCAGGAGACTGCTGAGGTCCTGCCACTTCCCCTTTCTTCATCCTTTTCAGAACTTGAAAGCCAAAAGGTAGAAAATTGAAATCAAGGGTGATGGCATTTGATTCGACACTCTTGGTAAAACCCAATACTATTCACCTTCATTCCTCACTAGAGTGACCTGGAGGGGAGCTGAGAATATGAACCCCAAACCTGGAGGTGGAGATTTAATTAGCCAACCATCCCTCCTTGGCATCCAGGATATTTAAAGTTCTCAGCTGATGCTAATGGGAACCCCGAGTCAAGAACAACTGGACTTAAAGAATAAACTCAGGGATGAGAAAGAAGAATATGACCTTTTCTCTAAGTCTACCAGACTCTACCCCCAAAGGACATGTGAATAAGCCACTTACTTTCTGTTGATATATTTCTAGAAGTGAAATTAGACAATCAAAAGTTTAAAGTACTTGCTAACTTTAATGTTGAATGTGCTTAAAAATATGCTTAATAGATTTATTTTTTTAAGATATTTCTAAGTTGTCTCCGGAAGATAATTTTACCAAATGGTACTCCACAGCAGTGATTGGGATTTCTTTCTCACCTCATAACTCTTTCTTTTTACCTCTGCTTTAGTTCTAGTATTTTTTTTTTTCTATTTGGATCTTAGAGTGGTCAAGTATTTGTTCCCACATGCTCTTTAATTCTTCTGCGGGCTGTTCGTGCCCTTGGTACTTGTGGTCTGTTCTCCTGGCTCTCTCCTGAGGACTTGGCCTCTCAGCAGAGCCCCATGTCCGTTAGGATGGAGTCTAGGTGTATTTGGGCCATCGACAGGGTGTGTATAGAGGAAAAGATTAACATAAAGCAAAATGTGAAATGCTTCAGGGAGGAAAGACCCTCCACCAGGCAAGTCCAAAGGCGGATGATTCTCTCAGAACGGAGGGGACAATGGAAGGACAGGATGGGGAATGTCACTTAATAGACACTCTGGAGTAACTGGAAAAGGTTGGGAAGAGGCAAACACTGATGGGCCTCCAGATGGGAGAGCAACAGGCAGAGAGGCACCCGCACTTGCGAGTCCATAAGGCTTACTCACTTTACCAGTAAGGGTGCTCAGTCTCAGGTGCGTGGCTGTCGCCTGGGGTTAAGTGACTATAAAACATGCCTTTGGACATCCATCACTATGGTCATAAACTGAATAGAGATGTCTTTATTATACTTGATGTAACTCCAGTATCTTTTCATATAAAATGTAGCAACTCAGGGAAAATAAATAAATAAATAAAAATGAAATGGTGCACACATGGCATGGGCCCCGGGTAGCTGAGCTGGATCCTGTCTCAGCTCCCCGGCCAGGTCCCCAGGGTGTTCCTAGTCAGTTTTCTCAGGATCTTCTCTCATGCTCTTATTCACTTAATTAGCTGCTAATTGTGTCCTATAGTGAGCAATGGCTGAATTATAAACAAAGTTAAACTATCCGTGTGCAAACTTGGCAAAAGGACATGGATGCACAGTGCTACAAGAAGACGTTACTGAAGATCAGTGAGAACTGGGGTCCGAAAGCTGATGGAAGCGGCACAGAAAAGAAAAGTGCTGCTCACGCCTCTCCTGGAACCTTCTAGGAGCAGTTTGGTCTCTGCCCTGGCTTCTAACCAAACTGACCTCGTAGGATGTCCCTACCTCAGCAGCCAGGTCTAAGCAGCCACCCTCAGATCCTGTCCCAGGAAAGGTCCCAACTAAGGCATTGCCCATAGACCTATGACCAACTAGAAAAGACAACCAGGTTAACTCCATCATTTTGCTTAGAACTGAGAAAACAGAGTCCATTTCTGAAGAAGGTGGAGAGAATTATGTTATATCAGAGAGTAGGTCTAGGGAAGCACAAATCATGCTGCATGGGGAACCTGGGGGAATAAGCCAAGTGTGAGCTCAGGGGGGACCCCAAAGAGAGATGAAAAGGGAACAGGGTGCAGAGAGAGTGCAGGGGCAGAGCGGGAGTAGGCCGCTGCTGCCCGGACGCCTGGTGCAACTCCTTTCCGCTTCCCAGGCAGCCCGTTCTCCTCTCTCCTTCCCAGGCCAGCTAACTTTCCAGAACCTCCCACTGCTCTCCGCTTAACCTTCATTCTTGAGCGTATTTCTGCTCCTGCCTCTTGTGAGCCCTGTTAAGGTGATAATGAGACAGTGAAATCATTTGGGGACGTAGAAGAAGAGAGAGGAGCTGTCTCTTTCTCATTTCCTGTACAGGGTGACTCCACATTTCCCTCTCGCCTTTCAGGAAGCTGATCAACAGAAACTCAAAAAGTTCTCTCTCCAGTTCTCCAGGCTATCAGGAAATAGCGTATCACCAAACTGACAAAAGAAGGCGGAGTTCTTCGGCTCAAAAACCGGAATTTATTTCCTCTAAGTAGTCAGAACAGAGCTGCTGAATTGGAAAGGAGGCTCACTGGCAATAAATGAGCAGTTCTTAGTAAAACGCCAGTGGAGGGGCCGTGAGGATGGCGTGTCAGGAGGCAGAATGCAGAGAAGGTGAAGCCAAGGTCAGAGAGGCAGATGCTGTGGGGGAGTCGAACCTCCAAAGAAGCTTCGAGAGCCTCAGGACGAGGATCATAATCAAATCCTTTCTCTGTCCAAAGAACACATCAGTGTGAAAGAGCCTGCTTGCTGCTCTCTAAGCCAGCAAAAATGAAAAGGAAGAATCTACCCACAAATGGAGTGAAGATAGACAGAGAGGATCAAGAAGAGTAGAGGAGGTCTCCTTGTTCTCTTACCCTTTTTAATGAGCTCTTGAATGCCCGAAACAGAAAAGGACTCAGTGACTGAGAGTTCACTTTTGCCACGGAGGCGCTGAGGGCTTCGTGCAGGGCATCAGGATCGTAGTCAAACACAGGGAAACCTGGACACAAGCAATGGCCACAGCAGATGAGACGTCCGGCCAGGGTGGGCGCGTGCCCTAAGAGCAGGTGGCCCTGCTGCTGGGTCCCTTACCTGAGCAGTGCACTCCAAGGGCCAATATAATCAAGATCTTCATCATTCTCTTCTCCATTGTAAGAAAAATAATTTTAATTCAAAGCCCAGGAGACTGTCTCTTTATGGTTTTAGGGTGACGATGCTCGAGAACAGCTGAATTAATCAAATATGATCCAATGCTCTCTCCGGTTTGTGCAGTCAGCAACTTAAACAGAAAGAATTGATCCTGGGGTCAATATTTACTGCTGACTTTTCCTAATGGAAAAGTTCCAATTTCAGGTCACTTTTGAAATTTAGACTTCACTGGGGGACTTTAGCCTCTGATGAAGGACACTGAGAGGCTCAGGACTCCACGTGTGCTATTTATTTTCTCTGTTTTTTGTCCTATTCTTTTGGGGGATGGCACATCCAACACACAGCTACTTTTCGGTTTTGCTTATTCTGTCCCTGTGTTAGTTGATACATTGTGTCAACTTGGCTGAATCAGCTCTGGCAGCGTGGGGGCCTCACCCTGCAGGTGGGCAGGGCCCAGGAATTGAGAAAGGCTTCCTGCAACCCTGCCTGACTTCCTGCCTCCTGGTTTCCTGCCGCCCAGCCCTGCTTCCTTGGAGAAGTCCCAGTCTTCGGAGGAGCTTGGTATTCGCGCCGCAGCTCCGAACTTCACTGTGGAGTGCTGATCTTCACAGTCAGCGTAGAAGGAAGAGAGAGGCTTGATGGACGCCGCTGCAGCTGCTGCTCCTCCTCTGCTCTTCATTGTTTTCTGCCGAGTGAACTGCTGTTGTTTGCCTTGGAGCCAGTGGAATATGGACTGATCCTTCCAGTAACTGTGAGCTAAATAAACCTTTCCTTCCTTCATTTTGAGTGTTTGGTATTTGTCCCAGCAATTAGTAAAGTAACTAAGACAGTCCCCTTCATAGTATTCCCAGTGGAATATTTCTGAAAATAATATGACTATTTTGGTATTTGTTTTGGAAATTAGGGTTTCAAAAGAGAGAATTTTATAGGAGTTCTCAACATTCTAAGCAAAGCTAGGTGACATAGGAAGTGGCGACACAGCTCTGTTCACCAGCATTCCCGCCAGCGGACACCTCTGCACATCACTAGGATCCCCAGGTATCGACACACTGATGATTTTGGTGCCGTGTTCCAACCCAAGGTAGGTTGTGAATTGCTAACATGAGAAATGTTCAATAGGAAACATGCTGTATGCTGCATATAGGCTACTGTGTGGCCCATAGCCATCATATCAACACGGTGGACTGTGCTGTGGCTCAGAAAGCCCGAGCCTGGAGCCGCAGCTCTGCTACAAACTCACCATTGTGTCCTCGGCCGGAAGACTCAACACTTCTGCAACTCAACTTCTTCATCTGCACAGTGGGCACAAATGGACAGATGTCGGTGTTCTGCAGCAAAAGAGAACTAATGAGATGAATGGAGGTAAGAGGAAAGGCCCGGGAGGGCTGCTGTCCAGCCCAAGGCCAGCTGCTGGCCAGTCCCTTCCCGCCAGGCAGCCTTCTTCTGCTCAGGCCTTCAGCCAGGTTAATGAGTTCCCACATAGGGAGTCACTGACCTCACTCAAAACCTAGTCATTAAACCATTCAGAATAATGCTCTAGCCAAGAGGACGTATCACGTGAGGACCGAACGGCAAGCCCTTGGCAGAGGCCTTGGGACGTGTACGGGTCAGCTTTTCCCCACTGACCTGAAAGCCTGAATACACAGCTGAAGGGAGGGTTTATTTCTGCTCCCGGTTTCAGAAGATTCAGCCCGTGGCTGGTGGGTTCTGAAGCAGAAGAATCCCATTGAAGATACATGGAGGAAGACAGAGCTGGCTTCAGGGTGGACATGAGGCCGAGCAGGTGAGCTATGCGGAAGGAAGAGGCCCAGCATCAGACAGAGAATCCAAGGCGACGCTTCCTGGACCCACCCAGGCACACCCAGAAGTGCACTGTACCAATCCCCTGTGTGGCTGTAAGACCAGTCAGGTCAACAGTGAAGGTCAACAGACACAGCAGATGAATGGCTCAGTACATGGAGCTGCTAGGAGGAACTCAGTACTTTTGAGTGTCTGCTATGCATGAAGGAAAAGATCCAGAGAACATTTTGATTGGATAAGTGCTCTAGCTCACCTTGTATATAAAAAGCAAAAATAAGCACCAAAGAGGCCTCCATCTGGATGAGAATTCAGACAGGGGCTGATGCTGATGGAAGCCTGGGGTCGTTGGCAGGCATTCGTGAGTCCCTTCCACCTCAACCTTGATGACTGCAAAGTCATCCCACAGATGAGAGGTAACTTTGTAAGAAAAAGAACAGAAAGGGAGCCAGGAAAGGGAACCATCACACTGGCCAAAAGCTGTGGTGTGGTGCGGCGGTGTTCCCCATGAGCAGGCCAGCAAGAAGGAGGAGACCTGAGCATAGCGGGTGTGCCACCCAGGAATGGCTGCGGCATCCAGCGTAAGCTATCGCTATGTAATAAGGCAAACTTAGTAGGCAGAACCCTGTCTTGCTTTGCCTGTGCCCAGTGTCACTGCCCCAAATACTTCCTTTGGCCAAGCAAAATCATGCTTCTGATGACTTTGCTCACCGACCAGACCACGAGGCTGCCTGGAATACTCACTGCCTCAACCCAAAGGTCTTCTTTTTGTAAAACTATGCATCAGCACTTGGGTGCAAAGTGTGCTTGGAATCCCAGGATAGCTTGAGTGCCTACATGCCCCTTCATTAGCTCAACTACAGCTCCAGTGAGCATACTCTGCTTACTCTCTGCCTCCTTAGAGACCACCCTTCCTCTCTCACCTGATTCTGGTGCTCCAGGGTCCATGGCCATTAGAGTGGCCTTTGGAGCTGACAGTCCCCGAAGGGCTTGATGCTCAGCTTTGCACAACTGAAAGGTGGTGGAAGCCTTTAAGTGGTGGCCCTTGTGGGACATTCTAAGTCATTGGAACTTCCCACAAAAGACATCGAAGGTCCCAGGCTCTTCCCTGGTCTCCTTTCTCCTTATTTGATATGAGGTGAACAGTCTGCTCCACTCCACCCTGGCAGCATGGTACACTGTGCCACACAGGCCCAGAGCTACAAGGCAAGCCAGTCATAAATGGAAACCTTCAAAACTGTGAGGCAAATAAACCTTTCCTCTTTATAATTGCATTATCTCATGTATTTTGTTACAGTAATGAAAGCTGATGAACACAGACTCCAAATGACTGCCACCCCAGGCTTTTGTATTCATTTTTTTGTTCTTCTTTCTGTTCTCAGTGTTAGTTGCCTACAATTAGTCAAGTCAAAGCCTAAATAATGCCTCCCCAGAGAGACGCTTGGACCATCCTCCCTCCTCAACTACCCTTCTGCCAACCCTTGAGCTCTCCCCATGGGCTCTCTCCTTTCTCTATTCCTGGTAATTCTCACACATGCATAGAAGTCTTGCCGTTTGCTCATGGTTGACTTTATTCTGAAGTAGACTACAACCTCCATGAAGTAGGACTGTGACTATCTGGTCTGTGTCACTCTGAGACCCCCAAAGGAGAATCCAGTGAAGCACTTATTGAATGAGTGGGTGAGTGAACCCACTTGGTACCTCATAACTTTATTCTAAGTCTTTCTGTTGGAAGCCAACACTAATTGCTGTCATGTAACAGGTACTCTGGGCAGTGTGCTAGGAGGTGGTGACTGCTGAAATTTGTAATGCTATTGCTTTTAACCTGATTTGAACTCAATTCCATTACAGTCTTCCAGATTTAACTAATGGAACCATCTGGCTCCAAACTCCATGGCCTCATTAAATGAATAGTGGTAATAAAAGTAATTGTAAAAGAGTAGGGGACACTAAAGAGACAACAATAAGATAATGTTGCCAGCACAGGGCTATTGATTTTATTTGCAGCTTGCTGGTGTGGGAATAGATCTCTGTATTGCTCAGATTCTCTTGGCAACAATTAAATGCCAGCACCAGGCACGCAGAGCGGGCAGTGATCAGGGCTAAAAAGCAGTGATTTAAGAAGGCCTCTGTGGCATTGTCATGTGTTGTGAACCTCCAAGGTTAAGCATCGGCCATCCACTGAAGGTGGGCTATGATGATTTCTTTTGCTGTTTTTTCTCCAGTCTACAGAAATGTGAATGGCATTAATTCTAGCAATTTTCTGCTGTTCCAACAAAAATCATAGGTATTAAATATTATGTGGCACTAAGTGAAAAGCGCTGTATGTTTTTCCAATATAACTCCTGAATATTTATATAAAATTCATCACAGAAGCTTAACAGCAGGAACTGGGAACACACTGGATTAGGATGAGTGAGCTCCCGAGGCATGGGCTGCAATCGTCAGTCATCTTTATCATTTCTTTCGGGATTATTTCATTTAGGTCATTGCTGCAATATTATTGGAGAAAATCACGACATGTGAAATAAACATAAGCCAGTCTTCATCTGATCCATAAACCACAGATTTTGTAGCTACTTCCCAATTTTGTGGCAAGATTTCTAAACCTCTGATGGCCACCATGGAGATCTACCTCGGTGTCCTAGAGTCATACCCTTTTTCTATTCCTGAAATGTCACTGTCACCCTTGGGTTATTCCTCTAAGAGAGGTTATGCTTATCTGCAGAGCAGAGCAGGAGCTCCTGCAGGGAGGAACTGAAAAGACTCCTTGAATCCTGTCCAGAACCAGCGCGCCAAGAATATAGAGACCCAGGAGGCTGTGGTTCACAAGCTCCCCTGGGAACCTGGGAAGCAATACCTGAGAGCGCGCATTCTTCACCAGAGTGACTTTGCCGTCAGGGGATTAGGAAATGTCTATAGACACATCCTACTGTCACAGCTCCAGGACAGGATGTGGCCACCATGTGACAGGCAGAAGCCAGCGGTGTCTTCAGGCAGCTCCCTGCACACAGCACTGCCCCAGGACAGAGGTTCCTGCTCCAGGGCGCTGCTGATGGATGGAGCCCAGAAGCCGGCCTCGTTTCTCCAAAGTTCATGAATGGAAGTGTGTATTACAGGCAAACAAAGAAATTCCTGGTTCTGTGGCCCAGGAATCCTCAGAGGAGGAAAAGGGAAGCAGGTTCCTTCACTCAGGACCTTGAAATCCCAGACATGCTGAAGTACACAGTGAATCCTAACAAAATCCCTGTGAGACCTTCCTTACTCTGTAGCTGAAGGGACTGGAACACATGCTGAGGTTAGAAGCATCACTTCTACCCCGTCTGGGCATCTTTC